ACACAGAGTCAGAAGCCACTGATTGGAGAGAAGACAGGGTTTCCTCTAGGAAGGACCCTGCAATACAGCTGCAAGTATATACCGTAAAGATTCTTCTGATTCTTCCCAGTGGGGACATGTGGCCATTTGCCAGTGGATAACCAGGAGAATACCTTCACTTTTCAATAACTTTAAGAGCTGTCACTGTTTAATATAAGTTCTGACCACGGGACCTGAAATGCCATCATAGTCCTGAAGTGAAAGAAGTTTATGGAGGTGATAAATAGAGTCCTAGTCTTAATCCATCTCACGATGGGTTCAGTGAATCTGCAGACACATTCTACAGCTGTATCCTGGTCTCCATGTATAAATGTGGGATAGTTATAACTGGCAGAATCCTTACATTGGTTCTCTAACCTGTGAAGTAAGGGTCAGTATAATAGTAACAGCCAAGCGGAGGCCTCTGAAATTGATCAGCTCCCCACTTTCTGCACTGACCAAAATAACACTCAGAGGCACAAGCCAGGAGAAATTGCAGAGGTCAGCACTATCATCAAAGGCTTAAAAGGTGTGAGGGTGATGATCTCATTATATCTTCATTTAATTTACCTGTATGGTCTCTGCAAAAGAAACAGACAAGCCATGAATTAAGATTCATTTCATACTAGACGAACAGAAACTTAAGGAAGTGGTAGTCCCAGCCATGGTTATGCTGGATGTGATATCTTTATTAAGACAAACTAACTCAGCCTCTGACACTTGGTATGCAGCTGCTGAGCTGCAAAATGCATATTTCTCAATCCCCATCAGGAAGAGGATCAAAAGTAGTTACCTGCGTATGACAGAAACAGCAGTATACATTCATTCTCTTTCTCTAGGGCTTTGTTAACTTTCCCTCTCTCCATTACAATGTAGCTCACATGGATTTTGGTCATCTTAGAATTCCACAGCTTATCATTATGGTCTGCTATTAATGATATCTTTCTAACTGGACTCAGTGAGCAGGAAGTGGCAAGCACTGTAGATTCCCTTGTAAGACACCTGCATATCAAAGGATGAGAGATAAAGCATAGGAAGATTCAGAAGTCTGATGCATTGGTAAAGTTTTAGGTATCCTGTAGCTTGGGGCACACAAGGACATTATCTCTAAGGTAAAGGTCAAGTTGCTGCACTTTGTACCTTCCCCCATTAAGAAAAAAAGCACAGTGCTGGTGGACTTTGTATTTTGGGATAGAATATACCACACCAGGAAATATTGCTCTGACCAAAGTGTTGAATGACTCAGAAGACTGCCAGTTTTAAACAGGGCCAAGAAAAAGAGAAAGCTCTGCAGTAGCCCCAGTGGCAGAATAATCTACCTGCCGCTGGGGATACATGACTCACCATATTCGATGGTGTTTGAGATTTCCCTGATGGATAAACTTGCACCTAAGGTTCTGGAAAAAGCTTACAGCTTCTACAACAAGAGCTACTGTCCATTTGAAAGACAGCTCCTGGTATGCTACTGGACTCCCTAGCAGAAACTAGATGCCTGACCATGGGATACCAAGGGATCATGTGACTTGAGCTACCCATCGTGAGCTGAAAGTTATCAGATCCAGCAAGTCACAAAGTTGGATGAACAGCAACAATCAACTGTCTTATAGAAATTATATTTTTGGAATCAGACCCAATTGGGCTCAAAAGGCATTAATAAATCACATAGACATGTGGTCCAGAGTTCCATGTCATTAATCTATAGTGCACGGATGCCTCTCCTTCCAATTCAAACCTATGGCCTCATGAGTGTTTCCCCATGACCAACTGATGGAAGGGAAAAAAACTCAGGCCAGGTTCACAGATGACTCAACACAATACACTGGTGCTAATTGAAAATGAACCGGTGAACTGCTGCCACAATACAGTCTCTTTCAGGGATGGCCCTAAATGTGACGGGGAAGAGAAATCACCCTAGAGGACAGATCCAGGAGCAGCACCCTTGTTCATCCATTTAAATGGGAGGAAAAGTGGTTTGAAATCTCCATCCATCCCCCTCTTTGTATAAATCTCCATCTATCCATATAGACACATAGACTCCTTGGCATTAGTGAATGATTTATCTGATTACTCTGGGATTGAAAAGGAGTAAGATCAGAAAATTGGGAGACGAAAGCCTAAGAAATGGGAATAAAGCATGCAGACCTTTGTGTTCGAGTTAACACCCTCCAAAGAAAATTCACCAGAGAGAAGGCTCTCCACAACTGGGTAAGTGGGTGCTACATCATGTAATTGTCCCCAAGTCCCTCTTCTGCCACCCCAGTCCTTATACAACGAATGAGCCCATTAACAAAGTGAACATGGAGGCAGGGATAGATGTCATGGGCTCTCATTCACCAAGACTGATCTATAGACTGCCACTGTGCCGATCCCTTGGTACGCCACTATTCCTCAAAGAGATTTGGCCAAACACTTGATTATGGATCAATTGTACTGGACTCTTTCCACTCTGGAGGAGCAGGGAACCATTATTATTGGTCAACTCCTTCTGAATTCTAAATAAGCTCTCAGTGCTGGTTATTCAGAAGGAATCGACTTAACAATATATTAACCCATACGGCATCATATAAAACCAAAGGATTTACTTCACAATGAAAGAAAGGCAACAATGGGCACATGCCCATGAGATTTATTGCTCTTACCCATCATCCCCACCTGGAAAGATGCTAGTCTTGTAGAATAATGGAGTAACCTGTAAAAGCCTCATCTAAAATTCTAGCTTGGTGATAATAATTGCAAGTTTGGCGCACTCTCTCTCCTCCAGGATGTGGTCCATGTGTCAAATCAAAGGCCGCTAGATAGAACTGTAACCGTCCATGTGTCAAATCAAAGGCCGCTAGATAGAACTGTAACCTAACAGCTGGAATGCACGGATCCAGGAATCAAGAGATGGAAAAAGGATTAACCCTCACAACCCTATTCTCAGTAAACCATGCTGCAGCCCTAGGCTCCACTAAGTTAGAGGTCTTGTGTATCAAGTGTCCGTAGAGTATGATTCCATTCAGGAACATGACAAGGGCTACAGTTAACCTGAAGTTGTTACTGCCACTTATTCACTTTGAGATCCTTATGCCAAAGGACCAGCAGAAAAATAATAGAATTCCTGAACTTGTGAGAGTAATCACAAGTAAACCCTACCACGAGAAGCTAGAGTTGCTTTTGCATGTAAGGGCAGGAGGTGATGGTGGTGGTAGAAAACACATTGGAAACTCAAAAGATTTTACTAGGAAATCTCTAGTGCTTCTGTAATGAGTAATAATGATAAACGGGCAGCTTCAGCCATTATAACTCTACAGCAGCTCAGACTTCATGGGGATAAAAGCCGGGCTTAACTTAACTGGCAAGCCATCCAGACCAACAGAAGTATTGGCCAAGTTCGAGAGAAATCTACATAGAATAGATAATGGATGAGGGAGATATGAGTATCGATTACAGTTTGTAACTATAGCTAGCAATAGGGATTGTAGCTTATTTCACTAACCCTCTTGCTTTTCGTTTTTAAGAGGTTGCACATGGCCACCAATTTGAAAAAGACTCTTTGGTCAATTGAACTTGTATCTGATTTCTCTGGGAAGAATAGAGACCATTTTGCTGACGCGAAAATGGAAGCTCCATATTGTAACATGGGAACCAGACATATTTGAGAAAACAAGAATATTTGAGTAGTACAAGGGGTGGACTGCAGCAGGCAACTTTTGTGTGCCACTTGATTCTCTCGATCTTCTCTCCTGTCTGTAGTTTTGGTCATCACTGTGTTAACCGGCTCTGCTTTAGTGTTGATTGACTTCAAGTAAATATGATCTTACGGTACCTCAACTCATGCCTGCCTAGAGCATTTTGCCTCTTGTCATGGGCTTTTCCTGTTGTCCCTAACGTTTAGCATGCTATAGGGTCCTGTTTGGCACCCACACAGTTGAAGCCCAAACGTTTGATGGCCTCCAAAAAGCCATAGTATCTTGGCTAGTGAGAGATGGGAGTCAGTGGATAAATTATTTCCCCTGTATTCTCCCAGATGGACTAGGGTGAGATGTAATTTACACAGTTTCTCAGAGGGCTACACCATGAAATCAAGCAATTAGTCGTCACCATAGCAACCAGCTAAAGAATGCCTCCATATATTGTGCACTTTCCCTACTTTGAGCTCATTTTCCCTTACTCCTGCTCCCTGGGCTTGCACTCCCTAATAAATTAGCGTTGTACACCTTTATCTCATTCTCCGCTTTCTGGGAAACCCAGCTGGAGATACTATTTGACAAGATAAATAGACTTTTAAAAGTAATAGAAATCAAAGTGCTTTGAAGCATGTTATGTAATAGCACATGGTGTAACCATTAGCTTATAGTTATTGGGTCTATTTCAAGTTTATATTATAGATAGAGTGGAATAGGAAAATCCATAGGCAGTATAGCAGGTAAACACTCTCTTGCCTCCACTCCCAGTCCACTACTTTGAACCTAGTAGTCCTGAATTACAGAGTACTTGTCACTCTACCTACTCTCCTTCTTAAATTTCAAGGGTTACCTTCTCCAGGAAAAATACTACATTGACATACCTCCTTCAACCACTAAGAAACACAATTTCGGACCACATTTTATGGAGATCCTTGTTGACTAGAATTTCATCTTGGATATCATATGTGAGTTCCCTCAGAGCAGAGTCTGAGTTCATCTTTTCGTATAACTTCAGGGAACTTCTAAGCTATTCAGGTGATTCTCCCTCAGGATGGCAGGTTTTCCTAATATATTAGGACTGATTTATGTGAATTCTGTACTCTCTCACCTGAGTTTCTTCTGACCAACAACTTAAGTGTGATCACAGGGAGGCAATTTAGTGTGGGTGACAGTACTGGGAAAATAGGGATTTGTGGTAAGAAAACTTGCACTCAGGTACCAGATCTACCACTCAAATGCTGAATAATTCTGAGCCTCTGTCTGTGATGATTAATTTTATGTATCAACGTGACTGAGGTACAGGATGTTCAGATATTTAATTAAACATTATTTTAAATGTGTCTGTGAAGGCATTTCTGGATGAGATTAACATTTGAATCGGTAGACTGAGGAAAAAGATTGCCCTCCCCACAACTGGTAGGCCTCATTCAATTCGTTAAAGTCCTGAATAGACCAGAGGCTAAGAGAGAACTCACAAAAGGTGGGGTAAGAGGGAAATCACTCTCTCTACCTGACTGTCACTGACCTAGGCCATCGTTTGTGTTCTGCCTTCCAACTCGAACTTGGACTGGAACTAGCATCATCAGCTCTCCTGGTTCTCACATCTTCAGACTTGGACTGGGCTATACCATTCGTTATCCTGGGTCTCCAGCTTGACAACTGCAGATTCTGGACTTTTCAGCCTCCATAACAGTGTAAGCCTATTCCTTATGATAAATCTTTCTCTCTCTTTCTGTATGTCTGTGTGTGTAAAGAACCAATAAACAGAACAAACAGAAGATATATATATATATATATATATATAGACACACACATATATATGTATGGATATATAAATATACAAAAATATATCCATAACATGAATATGTATATTCTATTATGTATACATATATAGTATTGTAGATGTCGTATATGTAATATATAATGTATGTAATATAATGTATACACATATTATTATATTATATTACATATTAGCTTATATAATTATATATAATTACATTACATGTCATAAAATTATATAATATATTTTATAAGCTGATATATATGTAATACATATATATGTATATATTATAAATTTTATAATTTATAAATAATTTATATGAATTATATAATTATAATCTAAATTATATATTACATACATCTTCAAAAGGAGTTATGTCTATATAATGTACATATTATAAATACCATATTATTGTAAACATAATATATACATACAATATTACATATAATATATAAAATACTTTATATCATACAATATATATATTATATTATAGTATATATTATATATTATGTAATCTATATATTATATGTAGTATATAGGTATATATTATATTATACTATATATTCTAATGTAGATTATCAAATAGATTCTATTATATAGAATACTCTAGATTCTATATATGGTGATATATTCTATATAGTGTATAATATATAATATGTATAATACTTTCTAGCATATATTACATATTGTTTTATATATATAAACACAGTATATTAACATATACAGTATATCCAGGAGATATATATGTATATATATGATAGAAAGTATTATACATATTACATATTCTTACTATACAGAATATATAGTATTATATAATATGTAATATATACATACATATATTATATACAGGTATACCTCAGAGATATTGCTTTTTCTGCCCCAGACCACAAAAATAAAGCAAATCTTGCAATAAAGTGAGTCACATGAACTTTTTTGTTTCCCAGTGTGTATAAAGTTATATTTACACTATTAAGTGTGCAATAGCATTTTATCTAAAAAATGTATATACCTCAATTTTAAAACACTTTATTGCTAAAAAATACTAATGATTATCTGAGCCTTCACTAAGTCATAATCTTTTTGCTGGTTAAGTGTCTTGCCTCAGGGTTGATGGCTGCTGATTGATCGGGGTGGTGGTTGCTGAAGATTGGAATAACTATGACAATTTCTTAAGATAAAGCAACAATAAAGTGTTCTACATCAGTTAATGCTTTCTTTCTCAAACGATGTCTCTATATCATGGGATGCTATTTGATAGCATTTTTTTCACAGAACTTTTTGAAAAATGAAGTCACTCCTCTCGAAACTGCTTTATCAACTAAGTTTATGTAACATTCTAAACGCTTTATTGTCATTTCAACAATGTTACAGCATCTTCACCAGGGTAGATTCCACATCAAGAAACAACTTTCTTTGCTCATCCCTAAGAAGCAACCCCTTATCTGTTCACATTTGATCATGAGATTGCAGCAATTCAGTCAAATCTTCAGGCTCCACTTCTCATTCTAGTTCTCCTGCTATATCTCCCACCTCTGCAGTGACTTCCTCTACTAAAGTCTTCCTTCCTCAAAGTCATCCACGAGTGTTGGAATAAACTTTTTCCAAACTCCTATTAAGGTTGATTTTTTGACCTTTTCCCATGAATCACGAATGTCCTTAAATCCATCTAGAATGGTGAATCCAGAAGGTTGTCAATTGATTTTGCCCAGTTCAAAATCAATTGACAACCTTCTTCAAACAAATCACAGTTGGCAGCTATAGCCTTATGAAATGTATTTTTAAAATAACAACACTTGAAAGTGGAAATGACTGCTGCAGGATGGATGTTGTGTTAACAGGCATTGGGAAAAACTCAATACACTCAAGAGTGCTTTTTTCCTATTCTCTCACTCAACACAAAAATCTTCAACACAAAGGAAGACTTCTGTGACAAAATTTTTGGTGGGTTTCTCCCTACCACCAAATGACTAATCAGTTCTACAGTAGACACCTACAGGGTATTCTCCAATTCAACTCCAACATTATCTACCTGAAGTTAGTGTCAAATCCCACAGGTCTGGGGCTCAGTTCCCAAAACTTCCCCTGCTCCAGACACCAGTCACAAGTACATGCCTCCCAAACTTCTGACTCACTGGCTTCAATTTGGGGTTCCTATAATCTCCTCTTTGGGTTTGATTAATTTTACTGAAGTGGCTCACAGCACTCAGGGAAACATACATATTTATCAGTTTATCTGCATTGCAAAAAATACAGATGAAGAGATGCATAGGGCGAGAATGTGAGAAGAAGCACAGAGCTTCCAGGCACTCTTTGGGTGTGCTACCCTTCAGAATCCTCCATGTGTCCAGCTATCTGAGAAGCTCTCCAGAACCCTGTTCTTTAGCTTTTTACAAAGGCTTCATTATGTAGGTATGATTGATTAAACCATTGGTCGTTGATGATCAACTTGACCTTCAGCCCCTGTGCCTTCCCTAGAGGCTAGGGAGTGGGGCTGAAAGCTCCAACCCTGTAATAATGTCTTTGTCTTTCCAGTGACCAGCCCCATCCTGAAGTTAGTTATTAGCATACATAAAGACATCACTTTGGAGATTCCAAGGATTTTAGGAGTTGAATGTCAGGAAACAGGAAGGCAGGCCAAATATATACTTCACAATATCACACCAGGCATTAAAACAACATTCATTTTCTTGTAGATCTCCATCAGAGATCTTGGATGACTAGATATAATATTGTCAATGAGTAGTAGTACTTTGAAAGGAATCTTTTTTTCTGAGCAGTAGGTCTCAACTCTGACCTTAAAATATTCAGTAAGTCATCCTCTAAATAGACGTGCTGTCATTCAGGCTTTGTTGTTCCATTTATAGAGAACAGACAGAGTAGATTTGGCAAGTTCTTAAGGGCTCTAGAATTTTTAAATTCATTCCTCTTTTTATTTTTTAATTTTATTTTTATTTTTTTTGATCCTCTTTTTATTTTTAATGCTTCTGTCATAGGTCTTTGTGTTATGATTTCAATGAGGTTTTCAAAAAAACATCTTACAGATAAAATGGGTTATTTTAAGGTTATATCACGATAAAAGAATAGAAACAAAGAAAAAAGTAAGAACTTCTACACTTTAACCCCATCCCTATCCTACATATTGACTTTTAGTTTTCTCAATTTACACATTTTTACATTACGTATTCCTTAACAAGTTGTAGTAGCTATTAATGTTTTTGATAGATTGGGTTTTGGGCTTCACACTGGAGTTACTAGTTGATTGCACACCATAATTAGAGAATTAAAACTTTCTGGGCTTGTCCAAATTCTTCATTTTATCAGTGGGTTTTATGCTTCCTTTTTTTTTTTGAGACAGAGTTTCGCTCTTGTTACCCAGACTGGAGTGCAATGGTGTGATCTTGGCTCACCGCAACCTCCGCCTCCTGGGTTCAAGCAATTCTCCTGCCTCAGCCTCCTGAGTAGCTGGGATTACAGGCACTCACCACCAAGCCCAGCTAATTTTTTTGTATTTTTAGTAGAGACGGGGTTTCACCTTGTTGACCAGGTTGATCTCAATCTCTTGACCTCATTATCCACCCGCCTCAGCCTCCCAGCTTTTTTTTTTTTTTTAACATTACTGGTTTTCTGTTCTTGCTTTCACTTAAGAACTCCCTTTAGCATTTCTTGTAAGATGGTTCTGGTGGTGGTGAAGTCTCTCAGCATTTGTTTATCTGGGAAAGACTTTCTCTTTCCTTCAGATTTGAATGATAACTTGGCTGGATACAATATTTTTTGATGACAGTTGTTTTTTTCTTTCAGCACTTGAGAAATGTTGTTCCACTCCCTCCTGGCTGCATGATTTCTGTTTAGAAGTCTGTCACCAGACGAATTGAAGCACCTTATTTACTTGTTTTCTCTTTCTGCTTTAGAATTCCCTCTTTTCCTTGACCTTTGAGAGTTTAATCATCACACACCTTAGGGTAGTCTTACTTGGGTCAAATCTGTTTGGTGTTCTCTGACCTTCCTGTACCTGGGTATGTATATCTTTCTCAAGTTTTGAAAACTTTTCTCCTAACATTTCTTTGAATAATATTCTACCCCTTGCTCTTACTCAACTCTCTCTTGAATACCAATAATTCTTAGACTTTGTATTTTGAGGTAATTTTCTGTATCTTACATGAAATTTTGTCCTCAGACTGTGTATTTTCAAATAGCTTGTTTTTCAGTTCACTGATTCCTCACTCTGCTTCATCTATTCTGCTTTTGAGAGCCTCATATGAATTTTTCAGTTTAGCAAGTATATTTCTCAGTTCCAAGATTTCTGTTTTTTAAAAATTATTATTTCAATCTCTTTGTTAAAATTTCAGGTTGCTTTTCTGTGTTATCTTGGAGATCACTGAGTTTCCTCAAAACTACTCTTTTGAATTATTGGTCAGAGACCTCACACATCACCATCTCATTGGAATCAGTCACTGGTTTCTTGTTTTGCCCAGTTGGGGAGTTCATGGTTCCCTGTTTGCTATTGTTTCTTGTGGATGTACGTCTATGTCTTCCCATTGAAGAATTAGTTAGTCATTCCAATCTTCTTTACCTGGGATGTTCTGTTTTTCATTGGCTATATTTGCTTAGAGGTTCTTTACCACTAGGTCACTGCCTCCCTTTGGTTCTAAGGTGGTGCCTTAAGCCCAGATTCGCCTTGGATCTAGTAAATGATCAGAGCACTGACCTTCTTGAATAGGGGAGGTCCAAAAGGGGATGTCCTGACCATGTGGCAAGACTCACCAGGGGATCTGGGGATAAACCTCCTACACATGCTGCTGCTCAACAGCGACTCTTATTTGGCATCTCGTTTGGCTGTGCTATAGAGCAGAGCCTCCATGCCTGGGGGTGGTCATCCCATATCCCTCCTTTGTCTCTGCCTGTCCTCAGAAATAT